GGCCTCCTGAGGTGCTAGATTGTGGTTTGTTAAGTTGTTTATGCTATTATTGGTCCAATTATGATTGTAATTTCTTGCTTGGACAAAACCTCTTCCATGAAAATTGAAATTCTTGCTACCATATCCTCTACCTTGGTTACATGTCCCTCTTTGTGCTACAAACACTTGAGCATATGTTGGAGTCTTGTCTTTGCTTTCTTGTTTTGTAGCTTGTATATCCCTTTCATTGTTTAGCAATCTTGCAATATACTGGTTGAAGGTGGGATATGGTGCCTTAGACAAAATAGCAAAGTTGTAAGGCTGGCATCTTATTCCCACAACTCTGGATGTTGGAACACCTTGTCTAGATCATCAAGGGACTTGTGGATTACAGCAAGCCTATCATAGGTCCCTTTGAATTTCCTTATAAAATCCTCAAGTGACTAATTATCTCTTCTTTTGGTTGCTAGGTGCCCCTTGAGATGCAATTCTTGTTCCTTTGTTGAAGCTAGATAATGTTCCTCAAGACACTGTTAGATTTGAAAAGCTGTGTCACAACCAACCACCAAGCTGAGTGCTTCCTCATTCATGGTGCCGAGGAGCCAACTGGTTAGTAATCCATCATTGTTAAGCCAAACATCATGGTTTGAGTTTAGGACTTCCTCACCGTTTTTTGTAATCCTCATTGTTGGAGCTTCTTCTGCAAGGTGGTGTGTGAGTTGAGTGCTTCTTATCAATGGGAAAATCTATGATTTCCAAAGTAAAAAATTGGTACTGGACAACTTCACAGAGACCAAACTTGCCATTTGATGGAAGCTGTGGATTGTAAGCATGCTCTTGTTCTTAGCCATGATTGAATGCTAGCAATATTTGCTATAAAGTTCAACGGACGATTGATTTGGAAGACAAGAAAGATCAAAGTATTCAGATGCAGATAATGCAATGCTCTGATACCATGAAGAGAAATTAAAACTAGTGATAGAAAAGAGAATATTGAATTATATTTAGATTTTTTGATGTTCTGTACAATGACATCTGTATATATAATATTTACACAGCATGTGTCCACGCCTAGAATCAGAAGATTGTTGTTTTGACTGTTGCTCAATTTTTGCATTATGACCGTTAGGGAATTATGACAGATGATTTTCTTCCTCTTTTGCTGCTGTTTCCTTGTTAGATCTTGATTGCTCATATTTGCTGTCATTTGTTTCCTTGTTTGGCTCTGGTATTGATTGCTTCTT